GTATGTATGTATGTATGTGTATGTATGTATGTGTATGTATTTAATGTAATGTAATGTAATGTGTATGTATGTATGTATGTATGTATGTATGTATGTAATGTATGTATGTATGTAATGTATGTATGTATGTATGTATGTATATATGTATATGTATGTATGTATGTATGTATGTATGTAATGTATGTATGTAATGTAATGTAATGTAATGTATGTATGTATGTATGTATGTATGTATGTATGTATGTATGTATGTATGTATGTATGTATGTATGTATGTATGTATGTATGTATGTATGTATGTATGTAATGTAATGTATGTATGTATGTATGTATGTATGTATGTATGTATGTATGTATGTATGTATGTATGTATGTATGTATGTATGTATGTAATGTATGTATGTATGTATGTATGTATGTATGTATGTATGTATGTATGTATGTATGTATGTATGTATGTATGTATGTATGTATGTATGTATGTATGTATGTATGTATGTATGTATGTATGTATGTATGTATGTATGTATGTATGTATGTATGTATGTATGTATGTATGTATGTATGTATGTATGTATGTATGTATGTATGTATGTATACATATATATATATATGTATGTATGTAATGAATGTATGTATTTATTGTAATGTAGTGTACTGTACTGTAATGTAATGCAATGTAATGTACGTATGTATGTATGGTATGTATGTATGTATGTAATGAATGTATGTATGTAATGTAATATACTGTACTGTACTGTAATGTAATGTAATGTAATGTAATGTAATGTAAGTATGTATGTATGGTATGGTATGTATGTATGTATGTAATGTATGCATGTTATGTTATGTTATGTTATGTTGTGTTATGTATGTATGTATTTATGTATGTATGTATGTATGCATGTGTGTACGTATGTAATGTATGTACGTATGTATGTAATGTATGTATGTATGTATGTAATGTATGTATGCAATGTAATTTAATGTAATGTAATGGAATGTAAAAAAACAGTAATGTAATGTAATGTAATGTAATGTAATGCATGTAATGTATGTAATGTATGTAATGTATGTAATGTATATAATGTATGTAATGTATGTAATGTATGTAGTGTATGTAATGTATGTAATGTATGTATGTAATGAGTGTATTGTAATTTAATGTAATGTAATGCAATGTAGGTACATGTAAATGTAAATTTAAATGTAACTACAAATGTAATGTAGTGTAATGTAGTGTAATATACTGTAGGTAAATGTAAATGTAAATATAATGTAATTTATTAAAGTGTAATGTAATGTAATGTAATGTATGTATGTATGAATCTATGTATGTTATGTTATGTCATGTAAACGTATATGTAGCGTAATTTCATGCAATGCAATGTAATGCAAGGTAATGTAAGGTAATGTATGTATGTATGTAACATACGTATGCATGTAATGCATGTGTCTATGTATGCACATGATAGTGGTAAGTAGTAGCGGTACTGCAATGCAATGTAATGCAATGTAAGGTACATAGGGGTGCTCGGGATGCCGTCGGGGATGCAAGGGGATGCCTAGTGGCATCTAGAAATGTGAAGATGTACACACATGCATAACTATATATATATATATGTATTTGTGTAATATATATATATATATATTTGGTCCAGGTTCACGGGTAGCCTGAAGCCGACCCCAACCCTAAACCAACCTCCTAAACCAGCTCTAAGCCAACCCGAAACCAGTAAGTGGTTGCCAATGTTTAAGCCCAAACTCAACAAGCCACACCGATTCCAAACCAGTACCAAACCAGCCACCCCCACACAAACAGGGCGGGAGGGGCGGGGGATGGGGAGCTGCAGACTTGGATCATATGCAAACAAACACATGAACGGACCAAGTAATCTGAGAAGTTCTTCGCTTCTCCGCCAGCTCCACCAAGCGGTGGGGCTCCCCTTGGCCTCGGAAACAAGGCGGAAGTGGGTCTCTGACTATCGTTGAACAGGGTGCCAGAACCTGAACTAAAATACCTGGAGATTCATTCTCCATGAATTTGCTGGTAGTTCTCGTCTTTAACTTGATTGTCCTAAATCTCGACGATTTTAAGACTACTAAAACTCATAGATGTCGTTGATTCGACGTGATAAGTCAGATTTGGTCCCTTTTTACGTTGTCCCCACCCAGAATTACCCGCAAAACGCCTGCAAAACGCCAGCAACATCCCACAACCTCCCGCAAATCAGAAAAAAAAAATGTTTTGTGTTTTTCGGGGCCGAACGCTCATAGAAATCACTTAGAACGCCCAGCACTGCCTCAACTACCAGAAGTTTAGAATGCCTAAGAAAAGGCCGGAGAGTGAATCTCCAGGGAGCGTGTATTTCAATTGCAGCTGGAAAGAACCCCGGTGACCTAACTGAAAGACGGGCAGATGCGCTTCTCTGCTGTGGTGTCTAAAGCTTGTGGCATATTGGAAAGTATCATGGAATGGCCAGTGGATCACTGCGAATTTGGCTCAGTTTCACCAAGAGACGTCTACGACACGCGCTTTGTCCCCCGCGCAGTCTATCTCAACATGCCATCCGGAAACTCGGCTGCTGAATCAGTGCAGTTTGAAGACGCATGCGGTGCCACGCTCCGCTTGAAAGCCGAGGGCTTGTTCCCCCATTGACAATTTGCGCTTCAGCATGCTGAAAGAGCTGGTTGTTTTGTTCAATCGCAGCACCTGACAGTTTTCGGGAAGCATACTACTTGTGCTACCGAGGCAAGTTAAAGAAATTCGTCTCGGACAAGGCTGGCTGTCAGGGGGTCTTTGTGAAAGATATCCTGGTCCGTGCAGTCCACTTGGTTGACCTTGAAAACTTGGCTTGGGTGTCCGTTCCACTTAGTGAAGAAGTCAACGTTCGCCCGATTTCCGCACAAGCCACATGCTGATGTTTATGACGAGCCGAGAAGCCGTGCCTAGTCGAACATGTCTGAAAAGTGTCCCTCTTGCTGACCAAACAAGGCATAGTTTCGTAGAAGACTGACAGCATGGACACATGTTTTCTGATGAAGCCACGCGAGCTGAATCACTCATCCTCAAGGCCAAGGCATAAATCAGGTCAGCTTTACTTGAGGTTTTGTGAGCCTCATGTGTCAAAGAGGGTTTGTTGCTGAAACTAAGCAGCCAACACTAAGTAGCCGCCCAAATCTAAGTTTCCTTGGGCCCCCAAAACTAAGTATCCGCCCTTTGTTCTACTGTTATCACGCAAGTTATTCAGCATTCATAACTTAGTAGGTTACATACAACGTCAAGCTAGGACACCACTGCCTGGGATACCTTGGCAAAAATGCTTGTCGAGCGCGACCAAGCAACTGTTTCCAACTGACGGCCGCAGGGCTTCGGCTTCATTACTCCGGACGACGGGGGCGAAGACGTCTTCGCACACACCCTGCAGTGCTGCCGGCTGCTTTGAGGGGTCTTGCTTTGGGGCAACCTATTCCATCCGTCACTTTCTTGGCCCGAAGAAGCAACGAGCAGTTCGCAAATCCGCCTCGCGATGGTCTTAGAAGCTGGAAACAGAAGGTGTTTGTGGGGAAGCCCTAAAATATCCTGCTCCTTTACAAGAAGTGGTTCCAGTATGTGGCCCCTTTAGCAGACCATTTGACGCTTCAACTGACATAGTGGAATCTGGGTTGGGTCGCCAAAGCACAGTGACATGTTGTATATGCTTCATCAGATTTCAACTCGGCAAAGGCGGCAGAAACTCGTCGGAACAATCAAGCCATAATATGTTTTGCCTGGCACTGTGTTTGATCGTGCAAAGCAGGGAACATTTGGGGAACACGTGCCTTTAACATATTTATGTTTTGTTTGTGCCGAGAGGCAATGTAGCCGTTTTCAAGCCACCAATCATAGCTACCCAACTGCAGTTGTCAAGGCTGTGCGCATCCCAGCCTTCCGTGTCCCCGCGTTTCCTGACTGGCAGATTCAGCGGCGACGGCGACAGCCTGCGGGGTGGTGAGCGGGTTCAGTTTGAGGCCCCCGGTGCGTGTGTGCATGTCGGGGGGTGTGAGTTGGTGGGCCGCAGAAACATGTGCATCATTATGTCCAACTTTTTGAATTTTCATGATGTGTGAGCATGTGTTCCGGGGTTATGATGTGGATCGCTTACGGCCACACACACACGCACGCACACCAGCAATTGTGTGCCTTTTGGGCATTGATTCCCGGCACAAGCATGAACGGTGCAGGGCTCACCTTTCACGCCTCACAGCGACTCTGTCGTGGCTCCTAAACATCCAAACATCGAACCCAAGTATGACAGTAGTGAGGGACGCCGGGGACGCCACCCCCTTGTCGGGTCTCCATGTCCAGTCGGGGAAGCTGTCCAGGCTGAGTGGGACGACCGCAAGGGCAAGTACCGGGCCGCCTCCTGGAGCGTTGACACCGCCGCGGCGGCGGCGGTGATGCTGCCGGGAGTCTTGAAGAAGTTCTTCCAGGACAAAGGCGGGGCTCTCGTGTGAGCACCTGGCAGTGTTCTATTGCCCTATTGCCTGGTACTGTAGTGGTTTTAGGTGGTTTTCGTAATTACTGGTGGATAGTATCGGCTGTATTACGTGGTTCTACTGTGTTCTGCTACCTGGTTCCGTGGGTTTCATAGCAAGGCCCATAGTAAGGTGGGGGCCTCGTTTGGTTTTTCCAAAGGTTGGCCAAGGTATAAGTCAACACAGGGGCAGGGGTGTCCTTTTGGTGTCCGGTCAAGTTGATGACATGTTTTTTGGGTTTTCAGGGGGGTGGGGGGGGGTTCAAACGGCTGGAAGGGGTACTAAAGTACGGATGCCGAAAGGTTACCTCAGGGGTGTTGGACATGTTGCTGGAGTTGCTTGGTTTTATGCCAGGTTCTATGGCACCTTGCGAATGTCGTTAAAAGTGACAAGTAGCCATAGAAATTCGACTGCCGGGTATGGTGTTAAACCAAGAACGACGGGTTAATGGAGGTGTGCCCCTACTGCTGGAGCCCGGAACTTGGCTATGCATGTTTGCCTCCTGAACACCAAATTTGGAGACATCAAAGAAGAAAACAATAAAGAAATCGCGAATCAAGGGGCCCGGGCTTTGAACATAGTTGCGATTGAGGCTCCTAGAATTGGGCCCGGGCAAGGAAGCTAGGCTGCGGCTAACTTGGGGCATCCTTATCCCCTCGATACAACAAGGCTGCAAGTTCATGTTGTTTTTCTTGTGGTGGAGTATTGATTTCTGGGGAGAGAGGTCTCTTTAATTCAACTCCTGCTGATTTACTTGTCCGGATACTTCCGGAACAATCCATGAACGTTGAATGCCTTGCCACATCGTTGTGTTTGGGTGAACTTCAAAGCATCTCTGCTTTTGGGGGACGCTTTGACATTCTTATCTGCCCATCGTGAAATCTTATGTGCCCAGCGTGAAATCACATTTTGAGGAGCTACCGAGTTGTGTGCTGAACATGTGGGCCTTCACCCAATTTGACTACTTCGATCATTGAGCTTGACTCTGACGCACATACTGCAGACCGCTTATTGTCGTGAACAATCAATGATTCCTTTCTTCTGCCATGCTATAAAGTATGTTTGTACATGGTCCACTTTGTGTGATTGTTTGTCTCCTGGTGTGCCAGTGCTATGTTTATCGATGGAGTTGAAACCCTGAAGCAGGTTGAGTCTGCTATTCACCGTGGTCGATCCTCTTCATGCTTGTCGATGCTCTTCATCAGCATTCTCAACAAAAAGACCATGTTCCAATTTGAGCGCATGGTGGTGCAATTGTGGGCAGTTGCTTGTAATTAGCACTTCATATAATAAGTCCTGTCAATGTGTGGGTGCTGAAGCCCGGCATCACATGGAGGCACTGCTCGACGTTTGTTGTGACACGCGCACACGCATGCCTGCACCCACGCATGCGCGCATGCGCCCACGCGCACGCACGAACACCTATTTGGCTTGCTGACTTCAGGTGTTGTGGTTGGAACGTCTTTTAGAATTTCTGGACGCTTAGCAAGGATGCTGAGAAAGGACTGGTCTGGGATATTTGTGTTCCAGGCTGTGTGCAGTCAATCTAGTGACTCCATTACTACTCGTAACATGTTCGTGTAAATGGCAATCAATTCCGATGTGGACGTGCATTGACCATCCCAGAAGTGCCACGATGAACCCCCAATTGATGTCCAATGCAATAGATAGTTCGCAGAGCAGTGCACTGTAATTCTTGTCACAACTTCCAGCACTGTTTCGAACATGGTTATGAGGGGATTAAAGCAAAACCTATGGCTTGGCCACAGTGCGGACTGCAGCCAGGCGTCCCTTTGAGAGATGTGTGAAATCAGGGACCTCTTCTTTGATGGCTTGAACCAGCCCCAACAGCAGATCAGCAAGAAGACACCAACAAGAAACCCAGAGGAGCCACACCGTTTGAACATAGCCCCAATTGCTTGATGTTTGTTTCTTGTTTTGCCATCTGGCGCCTTCGCACATGTCGCGGCAGGCTTTGGCTTCATCGAGCCGCAGGACGGCAGCGAGGACCTTTTTGCCCACAGCCGGCAGTTCACTGGCGGCGACGCCACCAACATCTCGGAGGGCACGAAGGTGCGGGCGGGAGGCGGAAGGTGAAACCCCGGGGCTGGCTGCGGAAGTATGGGGCAGGCTGCTCAACAGCGGAGTGAGCTATTTTCTGTCGTTTTTATTGAACCCAAGGGAAAGTATGTTGAAAAATATGCATATCAGGTTGCCGGAAAGACGCTTGTCTTATAAAGTGGTTTGTTACGTTTCGGCACATGAATACTTGACTCAACTGTTGGGTGACGTGTTGTGGGGGCCTTCCGAAGCTCTCAGCTGACTGGTGGCATTATTTCGCTGCATCTTTACCCGTCCTTTGGTCAGCCTGGACACGGTTTTTATCAAGGACCCTGGTGAAAATCCTGTATATAATGTGACACGATGTTCATGAACAAGAATAGCTCTGGCTGAGCTTGCTGTAGTGACCCGCTGTCGGGAAGGCGGATTCATGCCAACTGCAGCCAGATGAGTGCGGGCCATCCAGGGAGCTTCTCAGGAAGATAGCTTTGACATACTTGCCCTGGGAATGCATGGCGTCGAACCGATTCACAGGTTTGATCATACGTTGTCCAGGTCAAGTACGAAGTGGAGTGGGATAGCAAGAAGGGGAAGAACAAAGCAGGACCTTGGAGAGTTCGTGCCGTCATGACAAGTATTCCTTGGACACACACCACACAAACAAAAACAAACAAATGAACGAACGAACGAACGAACGCACAAACGAACACACAGACTTCGATTGAGGAACATACCTACATGCGGCCAGAGGCCTAAAAACATTAGAGTCTTAGAGAACATAAATCTGTGCAAGACAAGGCTTGCCGCTTCGTTTCCCAGGCATGCAGGCAAATCCCCAAAAGCTATTTTGTTTGTGAACGGTATGTCAGATGAAATGAGTTTGCAAACAGAAACTGTACCGCAGAGTGCATCTAGCATGTGGATTCGGCCAGACAACACCCGAATCGGACTTGATTCACATTTATTGGATCTAGTCAGCGGAATCGGCGAGTAAGCAAGTGTGTCAGAAGCCTTTTTCGCTTTGCCAATGAGTGTCTTGAAGGATCTTGGTGCCTTGACACCGGGGATAGCGGCTGTGGCGGCTATGGTTGTGGGGGCTGTGGGGGCTGCGGCGGTGGCGGCGGCTATGGCTGCGGGGGCGGCGGTGGTGGCTGCGGAGGCTATCCGATGCAGCAGAGCTATGGGGGAGGTATGGGGGCCCCACAGCAGCTCAGCCCGCAGAGTCTGCGCTGGCAGAAGGTCGCGACAGGTCGCGACATTCAGTTTAAGCACAACTGTTGTTTGCGACAACGGGGAATGGATCGCAAGAATTTGGGTGAGCAGTTTCTAAGGTATGGCGGCGGCGGAGGCTATGGTCCCATGGGTGGTGGCCAGAGTGATCCTCGGTACTCTCCGTATGGCGCCCCAGCGCCGGGCGGCTATGGAGGTGTGACCGTCACGTTTGCTTTTTGACTGAGCCGGAGTTGTGGCGTGAAAAACCAGCTGACCTGATAGCCGGCATATCTTGTAAACGCTGTCGGTTTGCATGGACACAAGGACCCGCATTGAGTGTAATGCAGGCGGCAACCTGGGAATACATGAGACTGGTTCCCTATCTGGCCGTGACTTAAATTTGATCCGGCAGGCGGCTCCTCGTTGCCGCCGGGCTGGGAACAGACCACAGATCCTTCCAGTGGGAAGACTTACTATTTCAACCGCGCCACCAACGAGACCAGTTGGACCCCGCCGGCTGCGCACGCGCCCCCCCCGGCGATGCCAGCACCAGGCAGGGGAGGTCATCAAGTTCTTTTGTTTCGGCCAACGTAATGCTCTCTGCGGATCGATCTTCGGAGATGAAAGAGCTGCCAGTTGTCTGATTGCTAGCGTGTTTCATTCTAATAGCCGCTCCTTGTCAATTCAGTTTGCGTTGATGTTTGTTTGATTTTCCACAATCCCGTTCGATCAAGGGGAGGACACATTCTGAGACCATGCTGCAAAGCATGGAACTGTCACTTCTGCTTCCAGTTGCCAACTCTCACTTGCTTTCCAAAGTTCTGGGCTGCCTTGGGTTCGGCTCCCTTCCGCAGTTCCGGTCGACAGGCGGCTTGCCTCCCGGCTGGGAGACAGCGCAAGATCCCAACAGCGGCAAGACCTACTACTTCAACCGGTCGACCAATGAGACCAGATGGGACCCGCCCATGTAGAGCGCCGTCTCTAAGGAACTTTGGGGCAGCGGTCGAAGGCTTGAAGCTCTGGGGCCTGCAGGCTGCAAGGCTGCAAGGCTTTTGAGGAGCACTATCAGCAGCGAGGCTCAGGGTTTTGTCCGCCGATTAGGGAGAGCCGGCTTCAACTTGCCAAGCATTTTGGACATATGACGTTCCGAATCCTAGATGAATGAACGCATGACAATGAATCAATTTGAATGGAGACATAAATAATCCATAGCAACTGATGACCAACATTATCTTGCTTTGGGTATCACAAGCACGCAGAGGTTGTGTGCTGTGTTTAACAGGTCCTCAGGTTTTGTGAATGTAGATTAATTATGTTTGGAGAAACTATTGAAATATAATTTGTAAAATGTTATTTGATAAAATTTGAATAAAAATACAATTTTAATTTTTAGATATTGTATATTATATTAAATATAAATATTAAAAATATATTATTTGTATTATTTATAATTTTAATTTTATAAATATGGTTTTATATTTTTGAATTTTTTATTAGATTTGTTAATTATGTTTAATTATGATATTTAAATGTATTGTTATATTATTATTTGTTTTTTTGGGATTGTTTTTGGGCATATTTATATATATTAATATAATTAAAAGAAATTAATTTTATTTCGATATATAAAATATTTTAATATTGATAACAAAAATATATTATATATATGAATTAGCTTTTATATTTGTTGTGTGGGGTGTATACATTTTACTTTTAGTGAGTTTCTTATTGTTCTCCATATTTTGTATGTTTGTGTTATGTTTGATGAACCCTCTGTAGGGATTGTGTTTCGAAGCGCTCTTAGTGTGGCGCCGTGCGAATTTGTAAAGCGCTCGATGAACCCTTTACGATTCGTTGTGACATTGTGCGAATTTTAAAAATTGCCCGATGAATTTTTTATAGGGATTTTGCGCGCCTAAGCGTTTTCGCTATGGCGTCGTGCAAATTCGTAAAGTGCTTACTGAACCCTCTACGAGGATTATGCGTGTTAAAGCGTCTTCGTTGCGACGCCGTGCGAATTTGGAAAGTGCTCGGTGAACCCTTTGCAGTGATTTTGCGCGCCCAAACGCTCTCGCTGTGGCGCCGTACAAATTCGTTAAGTGCCTAATAAATCCTCTACGAGGATTGTGCGTGTTGAAGCGCCCTCGTTACGATTCCATACGAATTTGGAAAGTGCCCGGTAAACCCTCTTCGCGATGATCATGCGTGCCCAAGCGTTCTAGCGCCGCGGATTCGAAAAGCACCCGACAAATTTTTTACACAAATACAGCACTAGAACCACACGCATAGTTTTTTGTAAGCAAATACACTAGGCCTCACATTTAGGCCTTACATTTACAACTCGGGCCAATGCTCGGGGTATCGACGGAGTATCAGACCGGGGTATCGTTCTGAGTATATATCGTATAACGAAAATTTTCATAATTTTCCATAAGTTATTAGAGCCAAACAAACACATAATAGCCGACAATCATATATCAGTTTTAGCGGCTTGCTTGCTGGTAGCAACCTCAAGAACGCAAGTCGTAACTTTCATCATAAATACAGTATACAAGTTACACTTCGGCAACTCCAGCTCGAAAATCGCAACTTACGGCGATCACGTAGTCTAAGCGGTTTTATTTGCTAGTAACAACCTCCAGATCGCAAATCGCAGCTTTCAATATAAACACGATACACAAGTTAATTCAAAAATCCAGCACAAATCATATTCAAAAGTATCGTTTTTTGTAAGTCCTTTATTGTTTGTCAAGGAAAATACAAAAAACCAATGTTAAATAAAATACCATTAATACAATGATATTTAATAATTCTAAGGTTAACTCATATATTTAAAATATATTTATATAAATTAAATTTTTATATTAATATTAAAAACACAATATATTATTATTAATAAATATATTAAAATTAATCAATTATAAAAATTACAATAATATAAATAACTTATAATTTATTTTTAAATATAACTTAAATTAAAAACCCATTTTTTTTTCCTAAAACATAACATAATTATAAATCAATTATATATTATACAAAAAATAAATCATTTATATTCATATCCATATAATTGTTTTAATTAAACAATATAAAATCTAACATATCTATCAATTAATAACCTTTTTGTTTTTTATAAATAATTATTATATCAAATATAATATAAATATTAAAAAAACACAATATTTAGATTTAAAAATCAATATCAAACATAATTCATTCAAATAAAATCCTCTTTTTTATCTAAATAGAATACAATATTTTTAGATTTCAATCATAAAACCATCATTATATCAAAAACTAATAAATTAAATCATATCAAATCACAAAATTATAAGCCTTAATCCCATAAATATATCTTTCAAAATCATTCAAAATCAAAATTATCCATATTTATAAATCTCCCAACAAAACATCTAAAATTTCAAATTCCCCCCCTCAAAAAAATAATAAAATAAAACAAAACATACCAATTACAATTATTATTTCATTCTAACCCGAAAAAAAGAAAGAACTCCAAAATCAATTTCAATCCAACCATATCATAAACAATTCTTCCATAAATCTGCAAAATCATAACACCATAGATAATCAATTCTCATTGTATTATATTAACACAAACACAATATGATATATTCAAATAATCAAAATCTAAGTATTATTGGATTTAATTACACAATGTGTGGTAGTTATTTGTTATAATCAAATAGTTGGGTATTCCCGTCTCGTTCTCCAACCCTGCACTGTTTAGACTCCTTAACGTCGCTACCCAACGCCGAAAGTGTTTGTGATCTGAACCACCTATATCATGGCCCTACCTACCCAAACATGTTTCCGCCTGCCCTTGACTGCAATCGTCTGCAAATAGAGGCAGTCGCTCATTTTGTTTTGATACTTTCTTGCAACACTAAATCTACCATAATGAGAACACCTCCCAATGCTGTCACCACTGCTTCCTCACCTTCTGCCAGAAATGTGAAGCTGCCACCCGTGCCTGCTGTCTGGTAGCTGCGGCCGAGCACAAACTTGACTTTGGTTGCCGTTCGAGTCCCAAGGGGTCTCCGTGAAACCTCCGAAGACGAAACCGCCCTGGCTGCGCGCGACAATCAAGGCTGGCCCGCGCCCATCGCGCTTTTCGTGAAAACTGCGAGCAGCGAAGCCATCCCGCGAAGCCCGATAGAGAAGGTTCAAGTTGCTGTTTGGAAGCCAGGGCAGCAAAGCAAGCTCGTCAGCCGGCAAAAGTATCTCGGAGTCCCAGGATGAAGTCTGCATCATCGAGCCAAGGCCAAAATACTCGGTCAACCGTTGCCAGGCTCCAAGCTTCGCAGCTAGAACGCGCGGCTGAAATTCTTGACCAAGCAGGCTGCCTAAGCGCAAGTGACGGAGAATTTGTGCAAACAACTCGGGATCTTCGTCGAGAAATACTTTACCATCCAACATTTCATCCGTTTGCACGGTCCACTCCCTGATCCATCACTTGCTACCAGGCCTTGGCGCCTCCAGATTTCGCCGCACCCACTCATGGACATATGCCCTTGCATCATCGCCGCCCAAAAAGAGGAAACCATGCCGGTGGGTGTTGGTAAGCAAACCGAGCAAACTTGGCACTGCCCGCACCTGCCCGATCCCCCACCATCCGCTGCCGCTGGTCCGCAAATTCAACGTGGAGCGCTGTGGTCGGTCCTCTTCAACCATCACATTGGCCGACACCATTACGAAGCAAGAAACAAAACAAGAGTCTGCACATGGAGGAATCATGGAAGGGGATCCAGCCCGGCTTAAACTTGGCTGCTAAGGCTGAATCATTCTGCCAAAGCAAGGTGGAACGGAAGGTTTCAATGATATTGCCACTTGTCATGAATCTTGTCTCCTGATTTATTGTCTGACAACGATAGTGCAACTTCTTGTCTTCCTGAGAAGCCTTGTGCGCATACTCAACGCCGCTGTTCATGACTTGAAGCAACTTGTTGACCACACTCCACTCTTTGGCCTGCTCTTGTTCCTGCCACTCAGCTACCTTGGCCTCCAAGTAGTTTTTCAAACAAAGCAGCTGCGCTCCCTCGCCGTTGTTCTGAATCTGGAAAACTTCCCATTCTGTCACCACTGCCTCCGGACCTTCTGCAAGGAAAGAATAATTGAAGCCCGTGCCTGCTGCCTGGTAGGTGTAGCCGAGGCTAAATGCAACCCTGGCTGCCGCGTCTGCCGGGAAGATCTGCATGTCGTGGCCTCCGCCAAAGGTTGCAGCGTGATTCGAACTGCAGCAGATGCCATGCTGATGGTTTTGAAATATGACATGCTTTGAAGGCCCATGAATTGATGGTCCCGAGAGGTGAAACAAGAAAGACCTGCTGCACTGCCTGTAGCCGCCACTTGAGTTGAAGGCAGTGTCTGTGTATCTTCCAAAGATGTAGCCTGCTTGGCTGCGGGCAATGACCACGGCAGGCCCATGCGCATCACACTTCTGGTGAAAGGCTTGCGCCGAAAAGCCATCCCGCGAGGCTCGGTAAAGAAGCTTCATGTGTACTGCGGCATCGCCTCCTACGCTGATCCATGTTGTGAGCGTCTTGGCATCATCCGCGCTGAGGAGCGCGCTGCCGTGAGTGGCATCCTCGCTTGCAATCTCGGCGCTGCCATCCTGAAGGCCAGCTCGGGAGCACAAAAAGTCGCACAGCTCCAAGAATCCAGGGCGGAACTCGACTGGCAAGGCATCAACACATGGAGCTGTTGTTTCAGATCCGGGCGGGGATCGTTTCACATCGACCAGCCAATTCAGCAAAGCTCGAAACTGGACGGGATCCAAGTCGAGGAAAATGCGACCCTCGCTGTCCCTTGCCAGGAATGGATCCAACGGTCCCTGAACATCTCCGCCAGCCGAGATCCCTGAACCGCCGTGAGCGTATCGCGCTTGGTCACGAAGCCTGTGTCGCCGCCCACATTGAGCTGGATCACATCAGAAGCTTTTACCTGGGTTGGTCATTGACCTGCAAAGATGTCCCATGTCGCTAGCTAGAGAGTCAAAGAGTCAAATCAACAAGAGATCCAAGAAACTCAAAAGGGTAAAGGGGCATGAGAGCAAAAGGGTGAGACCTGACCAAACAGCCAAGTTGCCTCCTTGCTCTTTGGCTTCTTGAAGAGGTGATCCAGTTGCTCATCCAGAGTCTCGCGCTTGCGCTTGAGGCATGCCTCCTGATCCTTGATGGCCGCCTGCAGTTCTTCTACGGCTTCAGCCACCTTCTCCATGGCGAAAGGCGCCCAAGCAGTGAGCCTGAACAGGTGTGTGTGTGTGTGTGTGTGTTTGTGCTCGGGTTGCTGCCATATGCTCAGGGCGTGAAGCAGGGGTGCCAGCTGCATGTACTTAGGGCAACTGGCTTTCAGCGCACAACAACTAGAGAGCCATATTGGCTGTATCATTCGGTGACACATCTTTGTGGTGTAGGAAATTACCCAAGAGCAAATCACAAGCAACCTGAGAATGCTCTCCGTTTCCAGATAGAGCTCAAAAAGGTGTAAGACGCTGACGATTCATGCTACCCAGGATCCAGCACTGTTGTTGGATTGGGATGTATCACAGGTATGATGATGATTTTGAGGACGATGATGATGATGATGATGATGATGATGATGAGGAGGAGGAGGAGGAAAAGGTTGACGACAACGTCGCGGACATGCTAGCTTGGGAATGATGGAGGTTGACTGCGCGAGGATGTGACGCACGCAATCCCATTGCCAGCTGTCCAGCTCGTGGGATTCCACTGCCAGGCCTCAAATTCCTGGCGGAGCTGGTGGGTGAACATGAAGAAAAGAAGGCCCGCGTATCTCCGCCATGTGCCAGCGAAAGACATGGTCTACACCAGTGCTGGACTGAAGGAAGACAAACGGACCTTGCTTGGACTGAGTTAGTGGCTTTTCAGCAAGAACATCACATCTACCACGTGACATGCGTGGTCCTCTTTCCTGATCGCTGCAAAATCCCAAGTGGCTGCCCCAAAAAGATGCATGCTGCATGCCCCGTAGCCAGAGAAGTACTATATCAAGCCTATTCAACTACTTACACATCATTTTCCCGGCTGAATGCTTTCCAATCAAAAGCATCCGAGCAGGACAGGCTCACTCGCCCGGCAAATACGTAATCTATCCTAAGCCGCGGAGGTGCTCCAAATTCTGTGAGAGCTGGTGCTGTGCATTTGAAAGGCTGCAAGTGATCAGAGCCACTACTGATGGACGACTTTCCGCCCTCACTGGAAAGTGGTTGTGCAAAGTGCAAAGTTCCGTACGGCATTTTTGTAGCAGCCTCAGTCAATAGAAGTTGCCCACCTGCAGCTTATGACCACTCACCACTTCATCCATCAGCTGCGGCTGCCAGGTTCCTTTGAGGAACCAAGGGCATGCCCTCAAGCTCAGGTCATGGATTAAGCCTTAGACGAAGGCCCAGAGGCCTTCCGATGAGGCATGGTGATATGGTGAGCATCACACATTGACAACAGTTGCATCAAGAAACATGTTGTACCTTCAACACGCTGAGTCGTTCAGGGAGAAAAACAACCATCTCTTTTGCTTTTCTGCCCTCTCTCTCTCTCTCTCCTGTTGCGGAAGCTGATGTTGACAAATACATGCAGAGGCAGCAACAACAAGCAAACAAGTGGCAGCAAGGGTGATTGCCAGGCCACACACGACACACGACACACACACACACACAACAAAAAAAAAACAGACACAGACACAGAAACAAACAGAGACAGAGACAGAGACAAAGACAGAGACACGCGGACACGCAGACAAGCGGACACGCGGACACCTGGACAGACGGACACCCGGACACCCGGACACACGGAGACAGGGAGACAGGGAGGCACGGAGACACGGAGACGCGGAGACGCGGAGACACGGAGACACGGAGACGCGGAGACGCGGAGACGCAGAGACGCGGAGACGCGGAGACGCGGAGACGCGGAGACGCGGAGACGCGGAGACGCGGAGACGCGGAGACGCGGAGACGCGGAGTCGCGGAGACGCGGAGACGCGGAGACGCGGAGACGCGGAGACGCGGAGACGCGGAGACGCGGAGACGCGGAGACGCGGAGACGCGGAGACGCGGAGACGCGGAGACGCGGAGACGCGGAGACGCGGAGACGCGGAGACGCGGAGACGCGGAGACGCGGAGACGCGGAGACGCGACGAGACACGGAGACACGGAGACACAGAGACACAGAGACACCGAGACACCGAGACACCGAGACACCGAGACAACGAGAAAACGAGACACCGAGACACACAGACCGACAGACCCACAGACCCAGAGACACAGAGACACAGAGACACAGAGACACACAGACACACAGAGACACACAGAGACACACACACAGACACACAGACACACACACACAGACACACACACACAGACACACACACAGACACACACACACACACACAGAGACACACACACACACGCAAAGACACACACACACACAAAGACACACACACGCACACAGACACACACAGACACACACCCACACACACACACACCCCACACACACACCCACCCGCACCCACACACCCACACACCCACACACCCACGCACGCGCACGCGCACACGCACACGCACACGCACGCGCACACGCACACGCACACCCACACCCACACCCACAGGCACGCACACGCACACTCACACGCGCGCACACACACACACACACGCGCACAGGCACACATTCGCACACGCACACACGCACACACGCGCACACGCACACTCGCGCACACGCAAACCCGCACACACACGCAAACACACAAACACACAGACACACAGACGCACAAACGCACAGACGCACAGACTCACCGACGCGGAAACGCAGAGACGCCACACACGCACTTACGCGCATATACACATCAATACGCGCGTAAACACGCATACACACACATAAATACACACTTAAATGCACACTTAATTAAACACATAAATACACACATACATATGTATACACGCATGATCACATATTTAACATACAAACATACACACATACACACATGCACGCATACACACACATACACACACATACACACACATACACACATACACACATACACACAACAGAACAGAACAGAACAGAACAGAACAGAACAGAACAGAACAGAACAGAACAGAACAGAACAGAACAGAACGGAACACACACACACACAAACACACAACAAACAAAGACACATACACAACACATAACACACACACACACAGTTCTGTTGGAAAAAACAACCCCCTTACCTGGTCAACATGAGAGAACAACACGCAAATGGAGGAGCTCGAACAACAATGTTCAACATATCAACAGTACTCGAATGCTGGCCTTCTCAACATATGCTGGTAAGAATGCATTGCGAAGCAAAGCAGAACATATTTCGACCTGCTTGTCAAAAGGAGTAATTGGATTATTGAATCCTGGGATGCTGTGCGCTGTTTGAATCAGCTTGGGGCGACGTACCACAGGACGGACTTCTGAGATGCTTGGACCCTTTTGAGCTCTTTGGACTATCTCCAGACCAGCCACTTTTTGTTTAAAATCCCCTACCAAAGGCAGCCTTTGCCGGCGAGCAGCGTCTCGGGGAGGCTGTCCCCGAGCGCGGTGCGGCATAGTGGGCAGGTCTGTTGGCTGCGGAACCAGTTTGCCAAGCAGGGCCTGGATGTCTCTCACACACACACACACACCCTTTTGAGACACCCCTCAAACCCGCCATCCCCCAAACACACCCAGTATGGCTAAAACAAACCAACACGCCTCAGGCGTGCTTGTAGTTGTGGGGCGGGAGATAATTGTGAAAGCAATGATGCGTTGTAGTGGTTTGCCCCCTGGAACCCGCAATGGCTGGATTTCCTTTGGACTTCATGTCGAAATGCACCCTCCTATATTCAGATTGTCAAATGCTTGCCCATTTGCAGGTTGAGCCAGCTATCTCAAACTGCGCAAAGTTGATGCGGAAATTCCAGGCCAGCACATGGGTCTGTGATGTTTGAGGGAACCTGGAAGGAAGGCAACTCATTTTAGATTCAGTCAGGTGCTTGGCCATTTTGGTCGTAATCCCCGAATCATCTTTTTTGGTCTAGTGGATGTTCACGCGGGTCGTAACGAGTCACTCAACCTGGCAACCCAGCACACACTCAAACAACACCACCCATCAATTCACACCACACATGGCAGTCTACTAGCGGACTCTGAGCACAACAGCTTTTGGGACAAACCAGAATCAGGACCCAACTGAGCCAAGGACCGAAACGAAAATGCCGATTTCGAACATCAGGACGGAACCGAGACTAGAAAACAACAACAAGTTAGGACCAAAGCACATTGGGACCGAAACCTCGCCTCCCCCCGAAAAAAGTGGTTTCCCTTTGGTGCCCCTTGAAAACAACCCCAAGAAGGGTGCCCTCGCAAATAAACACACACACACACATGTACGATCTGATACGATCTGGTATGCATCTGTGTTCTGGTGATTATGTACCAAAGCATCATGCCATGGTATTCAGCATGCGTTTCTTCCTAGATCTGGAACAACTTTCTCGACACTTCGTTGCAAAGAAACCGTGGGAATTGGATCTGGTGCCGACGCGACGGGACATTGGTCATACGCTGGATGAACGACGACAGAAGAACACGAAAGAAAGGGATCCTCTGCCAAGGCCAGGCCGGCGCCCAAGTCTTAAGGCGCTCCCTATCAACCTTTGGACCTTTTGTAAAGGACCATGAGAGGCCCTTCCAGTCATTTTGTTTGATCTCACATTGCACATGTCAGGAATCTGCAAACAAGAGTTCAGCCCAAGGCCATTGCGGCCTCACTTTCCCAATCAGAAAAGCAAAACAAGTTGCACTTCATGCCCATCCCCGGCTTGCCTCTCTGAACAAACAACATATTCTAGTGGTGCGTTTCCGGCCTGTGGAAGACATGCTTCTGGCCAGTACAGGGCGTGACCACGATCTGGTCCCCGGCCGCAAAGTCTGCAAGGCAAATGGGGCAGTTCGTAGGATACCCGCCGTCCGAGTCGTTGAACGCCTGGCCACCGTGAAATAGGAACGGGAAAGGTCGTTGACTCGTTGGTGTAGCTCTGTGGAGGCCTTTTCACGCAGAAACCATGTATACCCACCATATCCCCCATATATAGGAGGCCCCATCCAAGGGCTCATACCCCGAAACAAACTAGAAACAGTTGCTCCATGCGGAATTCGGAATACGCTAACATGCATGGATGCACTCTTTCAGGGTTGCTCCTTTCTGTCAAACTCCATATAGCCCACGAAGGAGAACCACTAGGTTCACGATTGAAAAGGAACACAATTGGAGCCCTGACATGGCCATGGGTCAAAACACAGTACCCCCAGTGAACATCCCAATCCCCGCTAAAATAGACTAAAATGGGTGGTGCACCTACCCCAAAATGGCACCATTGGTTTTGACCCACAGCCACATGCAGCGCGAACACAAGATGGTCACCTCCGCGCTGAAGTTCACCCTCGTAAAGTCGCGCACACGGTTCGCTGGATCTTTCAGCAGTCCTGCAATGCGAAGCATCTGGGCACGGACAGAATTCGCCTTAATCGGTCTCGGACAAAATTCGGGTCTGGCTCAAAAGGAACCTTTGTGCATCAGTCAGAAGACGATTTAGGGGAAAACAAAAGTGGGCAAATGGGGCTCTCAAAATTAGGGACCCCATCCATGTGCTTAGTTTTCTTGGGTTTCCCTTTAAAGCCATCTCAAAAGATTTCCTCTTTGAGTCGCTTCGGGACATGGCTGTCATGTAGGCCAGTGGAGAAATGAAGCCAGAGGGGACTCCGGGTCCCCAGAAAAGTGCTGCGGGGGCCAAACTGAAGCTATTGCAAGGTTGATTCTGCTGAAAGATGTCTATGGGTTGCTGCTTTGGTCGAGGTAAGAGACGCACACACACACACACACACACTTGTTTCCAGGTTCATAGGCGCTGTTCTTCAGTTGTCGCTCTCTGTGCCTCATCAAAGTGGCCTTGACAGGAAGCCAACGTGTTGTGACACTGGCAGCGGGAAATGCAAATGTAACCAAAGACAGTGGAATCCAATGAAGAGATCATGCCCGGCATCGGATAAAATCAGCAGTCAAAGAAGTAGGAAGCAAGATTGGAGTGGCAGTGCCTGCCCTATGTGATCAGCCAGGCGTGGTTGAATCTAAGCGCAGCTCCGATGAGAAAAAGCTTTCAGAAGCTGTTCCAAAGAGGATTGAGTCACGAACACCCACTTACTCTTCACAAGCTTGCATAAATTGTTGGGACCGCTACTGGATCGACATCTGACCGCTAGCAGCCCAATGGTCAGGGCGCTTGCCATTCCAGAAGCCAACCCCATCGAACCGGCTGACTCGGCCAACCCGGTCCCGTTCTATAGAGAATCGGCTTCAGCCACGGCCACAGGCAGCTGAAGATCACCAGGCCGATCTGCGGCCAGCGGGTTCAAACATTTTGGGGAGATGGCCATGTCTCTACGGGATGGCCTGCGAGATTTCAATTGACCCTCACCGGAGCCCGTATCTATTTTGGCAGACAAGCCTCTTGCAAGGGTGGCCCACTCGTGTTTGGGCACGGGCAACTGCCAGTCAACTGGTGTGGGTGCAATGAAGCGTTAAGGGGCTTGGATGACCGCCCGTTTTTTTGGTTGGCAATTGATGCGCTCAGTAGAGAAGCAGCATCTCTTCCTCTGCTTGCTACCGGCGTGCCATCTGATTGCTCCCTTCCATCCGCAAGGTTTAAGCTGACGGGCGCCACACAACAACTCCCTCCAAGCGCCGATGGGCCAAACCTGCCTGAAGGAAGTAAGGGGAGAGCAGCATCCAGGCGGTGGAGCGAAGTTGGGCGGAGCAAGTGGAAGTGCTGGACATCACCAGGCAACAAAAGGTTGCCACTGGCCTCAAATCAGCTGAATGGCGGACCCATCAAGTCCAGAAAAATCAATCTGTTTAGCGTCCAGTGCTAGTTGAAGGCCCCCAAGATGTGGATGCAGGGCATACTTCAGGTAACGCGATTCAAGTTATTCTGTGAGAACTTTGGGGCGCACACACCAGCATTGTGCTCGCGTCCCCCGGTGCAACAATTGGCATGCGGAGCTCAGCATGCTGCTTCACGCCTGCTTTTGTGCTCAGCGTACGCTAGCCGCTACCACCTTCCACCGTGAGAAAATTTAACAACTGAAGTATCCTGGTTTTGACAAACGCGCACATACACACACAAATCATCAAGCAAAGTTCCTGTCACATCTAGTTGATCTGAACAGTCACGCACCCTTGTCAGCACTATGCGTCGCATCACAAGAGGTTTCCTCCAAGGCTGGCGTCACCAAACCTCGGTGTGTCTGTGTGTAAATCTGTGAAGATACAATATGAAAAGGACACTTCTTCTTTCCAAGATTCAGGATTATAGGGTGTGCAAATGAAAAGAGAAGAAGGAATACAACTATACAAAGATAAAAGTACACAGGATAATGATAGTACAGATATTTGTATTAGAAGTTAATGATTGTAAATGAGATTTCTTATCAGGTAGTATGCTTCTTGTATTTATTAGTTTCTTCTCTTTTTGCTGTGTTTGCAGCTATTTCTGGAATTGGGATGTCTTTTTCTTTTATTATTCCTGTCGCTTCGTCACTTTACCTTTTCCTACCCATCCATCTAATCACTACAACTCCAGACTGTTCCAAGATGAAATGGAACTATAAAGAAGAGAAAAAGCGGATGATGGAACATGTTAAAGTGTCTGATATTACTTTATCTGGAGTTCTATATCGGTTCTTCTTTCATTTGTTTCTTATCTTTTTCACACCTTTCTATTTCCTTTTTCATTCCTGGTATTTTAGCATTGTAGATGAGAGATGAAAATAATAAAAGATGATAGTAAACGTGATTCATAAGTTATTCCTGTTCCAGTTGCAAGTCTATTGTTTTACTATCTTATTTATCTCTATATTTTACTTCTTAATCATTGAACATAATATATTAATGTAAATAAGGTAGTAAAAAGAAATAGCAAAGATGCTTGATTAGTAACTGCTTCTACAGATAGGATATAACATGAGAATATTTCACCTATTTATATCTTCATCATTGTGCTCTATTATATATATATTTGTCTTTTGGTTATTTTTTGTCTTTTTGCTGTAAGATTTAACGGTCTACTTTCTATAATTCATTTTATCTTTCTATTTTGTTATATTGAAGAAGTAACATGAATCATAAAGGAAACAAACAGACTGGAATGAAGTGATACCTTGTGAGTGAGAAAGAATCCTGACTCTAAGTCCATTCCGTTCATTCTTGACTGCAATGAAGGTTACAACCTAAGAATATTTCTGGAGCAAATATTATTGAGTTTAGAAGAGAAATATAAAGTAAGCAGTAAATAGAAAAGGAAAATACAGAATAATTAATATGTGATAGAGATTATTAACAAGAAGATAACCAAACAATAAAGATAACCAAGTAACAGTGAATGAGACTAACCCGGCAAAGCAAACAATCTAGAATTAGGCTTGCAGTCTTTCTTCTTGTCTTTATCGTTTACTTCTCTTTCTATCATCATAATGTTGGACATGTTCATCTTGGGAATCATAGAACAAAGATAGATTCATGAAAAGAGAAGTTACATGTATAATTCTAGATATTAATACTGATAGGTTTATAACAAGATAATAGTAAGAAAAAGAAGATATAATATGAATGAACATGACCAATAATAAAGAGACAGATAAAGGTTTCTTACGGACAAGGCGTATCCTGACCAGTTATCAGGGTTCTTAATGTCATCCCTTTTCCCTTTATTATTCCTGTCTCTTGAGCAAGTCTTAGAAGGAGTTACATTAAGGTGAAATAGACTGGAATGAAGATATGAATGACATGGCATGCCTCTAATCTCTTCTTTGCTGTACTCAAGATAAAGAGATAACATAGTAATATCTTAGCTAACTTTATAAACTGTAAAGTATTACAAATACAAATATAAATGCTATTGGTCACTACACACTGTCATTACACCATTCCATGTCATTATGTTCATTCATATCTCTTTCCTTGTCTTCATGCCTCTTTCTCTCCGTCCAGAAATTAAGAACTCAATTACAAGGTTCTCCAGAAGATAGAGGTAGAGGATTATGAAGGGAATTAATTTCATATCCGATTTCTATTTATCTGTTTCCTTTAGTTATCTTATTCTTCAACTTCTGAGATGTAACCCCGACAACAAAGAGAAAAACCAAGAAGAAGGAGATAGACATATGATGTGCAACAAAAAACCTTTACACCTTAATCAAATTGTCAAAGATTTTATTGGTGGTTGTCTTTCTTCTTCTTTCATTTACAGTACTTTCACAATCTCAGGGAGGAAGGGAGTGAGAGAAGGAAAGTCACATGTCATTCCATTGCTGTTCCTTTTGTATATTGGATGGGTCTTTCTAGAGATACAAAGTCACGAGGAACGAGACAGACAGGAGAAAGGAAAAGGAATAGGAATGGAGGCAGCTTCTTTCTCTTCTATATGCTGCCACCATTATATTTCTATTCCTAATCCCTTCCTATCTCCTTACCTCCTCCTGCATTCATAAATTCATTTTGGAGTGAGGAGGAGAAGAGGTAAGGAATAGGAAAGGAAGGGATAGGTGATGATAGAAAGGGATAAGACAGCATATTTGCAAAGATAATGAAAGCTGTCTATCCACTGTCTATCATTCCCTTCCTATCACTCCCGCTTCCTCTGTACTCGCGGTCGCTCCGGAAGGTAGGCTACAGGGAAGTGAGTGGGAACGGTTACATGCTGGTCCAAAATCTAAGAGACTTTATTATTGTCCCAGCTCTTGGTCTAACCGTTCACTCACCATCCCTCACTCTCCTTCCAAGCCTTTCTATTCCTCACGTCATAGCGGCTTGGCTGCGGAGTGAGGAGAGAAAGCGAGAAGGAGGAGGTGATTAGGGATGGACCTCTCTTCTCTCTCTCCTGTCTATTCCTTCTCCCGTCTATCCCACCAACCGCTCACTCCGTTCCCTGCCTGTGGTTAATCACGGCAGGAATAGGCACAGAGAGAAGAGAGTGAGAAAAGGAAAGTCACATGTCATTCCATTACTGTTCCTTTTGTATATTGGATGGGTCTTTCCGGAGATACAAAGTGACGCGGGAAGAGACAGACAGGAGAAAGGAAAAGGAATAGGAATGGAGGCATCTTCTTTCTCTTCTATATGCTGCCACCATTATATTTCTATTCCTAATCCCGTCCTATCTCCTTACCTCCTCCTGCATTCATAAATTCATTTTGGAGTGAGGAGGAGAAGAGGTAAGGAATAGGAAAGGAAGGGATAGGTGATGATAGAAAGGGATAAGACAGCATATTTGAAAACATAATGAAAGCTGTCTATCCACTGTCTATCATTCCCTTCCTATCACTCCCGCTTCCTCTGTACTCGCGGTCGCTCCGGAAGGTAGGCTACAAGGAAGTGAGTGGGAACGGTTACATGCTGGTCCAAAATCTAAGAGACTTTATTATTGTCCCAGCTCTTGGTCTAACCGTTCACTCACCATCCTCTCTCCTTCCAAGCCTTTCTATTCCTCACGTCATAGCGGCTTGGCTGCGGAGTGAGGAGAGAGAACGCGAGAAGGAGGAAGTGATTATGAGGGCAGGAATCGACACAGAGGGAAGAGAGTGAGAGAAGGAAAGTCACATGTCATTTCATTTCAGACAGGAGAAAGGAAAAGGAATAGGAATGGAGGCATCTTCTTTCTCTTCTATATGCTGCCACCATTATATTTCTATTCCTAATCCCGTCCTATCTCCTTACCTCCTCCTGCATTCATAAATTCATTTTGGAGTGAGGAGGAGAAGAGGTAAGGAATAGGAAAGGAAGGGATAGGTGATGATAGAAAGGGATAAGACAGCATATTTGAAAACATAATGAAAGCTGTCTATCCACTGTCTATCATTCCCTTCCTATCACTCCCGCTTCCTCTGTACTCGCGGTCGCTCCGGAAGGTAGGCTACAGGGAAGTGAGTGGGAACGGTTACATGCTGGTCCAAAATCTAAGAGACTTTATTATTGTCCCAGCTCTTGGTCTAACCGTTCACTCACCATCCCTCACTCTCCTTCCAAGCCTTTCTATTCCTCACGTCATAGCGGCTTGGCTGCGGAGTGAGGAGAGAAAGCGAGAAGGAGGAAGTGATTAGGGATGGACCTC